CCCCTCTAACCCCTTTACCGTTGTTCCTTTCTCTTTTTCTTTTATGAAGACCATTAGGGGCTGGGGATTTAGCTCAGCGGCACAGCGCCTGCCTGGCAAGCGCGACGTCCTGAGTTCGATTCCCAGTACCGGGAAAAAAAAAAAAAAAAAAAAAAAAAAAAAAAAGACCGTGAATGCGCCGAAAAGGTAAGGGGATCCCAGTTTTCATCTCACTTGCTGAAGCGCAGCGTTTCCTCCATGAAGCCAGCTCACAGCATGCCGCGCTGCGGAGGCACAGCGGGCAGCAGGCCGCCCAGCATCTGCACTCAGACTCATGTCGTCCGCTCTGCTGATCCCTCTGTCTTCTGTCATTTGCCGGGATCCTCAACCACTGTCCTCGAGGACTTAAAAATGTAGCTCTTGACTTCGGTTGGGCCTCAGGCCATCCGAACTCCATGGTGCTCTAGAACACCAACCAGGGTTGCTTGACTTACTCCTATTTTGCAAACTAGTAACAGTTTTTCCGGCAGAAAATCCGTGCAATCAAAAATCACAAGCCGGGTGTGGTGTGCTCACCTGCGATCCCAGCACTTGGTTGAGGTGAGAGGATCATGAGTTTGAGGCCAGCCTGGGCTACAGAGTAAGATCCTGTCTCAAAAAGCAGACAAATCACAAACACACATGCTCCTAAAAAAGAAGTGTTTACTGTTGGTAGCGTCTGTGCCTTCACTAATACTCATTTATTCTTGCTCACTTATCTGACTGCTTGGCAATGTTTACTAACAAAAGACTAATGGTTTAAGATGGGGAAAAACCCCCATGTTTATAAGAAAATATTTCTGGGGTGGGGGAAAGCAATTGAGCAAAATAAAACATTAATGTTTTTGTCCTCTTACTGAGGAACAGGAGTCTCTGTTGTTTGGTTATTCACAGAATAGTTACCAGAGCTGGTGTACATTAAAGCTGTTAAATGCAATAAAATAAAATTGCAAAATGCACAAATGAATTTATTCTGATCTTCTTGCTTCAGAAGAGATGAGTCATAGGGCATTGACAGCTAGAGAAAGGTATTTTCTAGGTCAGAGGAGAGTTTGCAGACTGGCGATGCTCTCTCTGTGTAAGTTACTGTGTTCTGCTCGCTCTATGCTGCCCGCTGTTATTGCTGATACCTTTCTCACGTGCATCCTTTAACCTTGGGACCTCACCCGTGAAAACCTCCCTGGGGCCCGCCGAGTGGGCCAACAGCCATCGTCAGATTCATGACATTAATGTTTCTGGAGCTCCAGGCAGTCTGTCCCTAGGACTCATTTCTCAACCCTAGAATAGTTTCTTGTCTAGGAAGGACAGGTCCAGAGGCCTGTGGTGCTTCTTTTACCTTAAGTAGCTGGGCTTATAAATTTCAGATGGAGGAGCTTAGAGTGACAGGCTATTAAAAAACTCATTTCAGTTTCTCTCCCTAATATTCAATGATTTGCAAAACCTAACCAACAATGTAGTTAGTATGATGAAAAACACAGTTTTCATTTAGCAGACTTTCTCACTGGGGTCACATCTCTCTTTTTCTCTGAGGTTTGAGGGATGCAGCCTTGGAATCTCCAAAGAAATGGAGCTGTGTAGTCAGCAATGTTTTTCAACATAGTGGAGTCTGTGCAGGCCAGGGACACAGTGTTTCAGCATTCACAGGAGTCTCTGCCCACAGCTATGCCCAGGCTCACCGCTACCAGCTGTCACCAATGATCGGGCTAAGGAGGGGGGGAATTCACTATTCTACTGGCTAAGACCCTAACTGTGAAGCTCATGTGTCGCTGAATTTTTCATTTACAGAAAAACTAAAAGTGAGTGGTACAAAAGAACACTCCCTTGAATCTTTTTGCAAAGTTCTTATGATTGGAGATTTTTCCAGGTCACCTGTCATTATCTCTTTTATAACAAAGACTTAAATGGCCATTAAGACATAGTATTTGCAACATATTTGGGTCAGTGCTGCTGTCTTTTTTCCATGTGTTTCAGGCAGAATTGAAAGTACCCATCTCAAGAAGTGTCAAAACAGCAACTTCATTGGCGGCTGGCTCCATTTTCCCGTAGGCCTACCATTTTGTTACTTTGGGAAAATTGCACCCTGTCTCTCACTCAAACTCAGTGTGGCATCTAATCTATGTGATAAATTGTTTGCTCAAACACATCTACAGAGCAAAAATGATCCATCACAGGCCTGTAATCTTTGTGGCAGTCTTCATCTTAAATTTATTCCAGTTTCCCTCAAGGAAAGGAGTTTTCAGAAATGTGATACTTTCAAAGAAAAGGTCTGCAGACTCATTGAGAAGTATATCAAAAGGTAAAAGTAGAATTGAGAGAAACTTTCCCTCTCCGGACCAGAGATTGTGCATAGGTTCAAAAGTCAGCAGGGTCAGAATCTGAGTGTTGACTACAGAGGACTGAGGAAAGAATTAGTTGGAAGGATCAAATAGAAATAGAGAGAAGACATATAGGCTGGTAACCTTGATATCATGGTTTTTCTAAATTCTGTACATTTTTTTTGGAAGACGACGTTTATGTAGTTCAGGCTGGCTAAGGTATGTTGCTCATACTGGTAGCAAACTTGCAGTGAGCGTCATACCTGTCTCCTGAGTGCTGGGATTACACTCATGCCCTGCCGTAGGGGGCTAAGTTGTGTATACCGTTTAACGTAGAAACCTTATTAATAATTGGAGGTACTCAGAAACAGGACTAGGTACACCTAAACTTAATGTGCTCTGTAAAACATGACCAGCATACTACTGAGGAGCACCCTCTCTGTGTCACAATCTAGAGTTGCTCGGCCTGTCCAAGAAAGGTGGACTTCCTCGTCTTTTCTTGAATGAGCACTGCCAGAGCCCTGGGGTCCTGGCCCCTGCAGTCACTTGTCCATCTTCTCTGGGACTCATATCTACTTAGTCCTCCTTCCACACCTTATAAACACACTTGCAGGAGCGGGATATACTGCAACACCATGACTGTTTCTCTGGCTCCTAAGATGAACTTACTTAAAGAAAAGATGCATTTATCCCTGGATCTTCTAGTGTTTGAAACCTGGTAGGCACCTGTGATGGTTAATTTTAGGTGTTAATTTCACTGGAGTAAGGGCTGGATACCCCGATAGTGGGTAAAGCATTATTTCTGGGCATGCCTGTGGGTGCTTCCATTTGTCACCAGACTGAGTAAGGAAGATCTGCCCTTACCCAGTGTGACCATTCAGTCAGTGGAGGAACAGAACAGAAACTGCAAAGGGGGTTTCACTCTGTCTTCTGGAGCTGGGAAGCTCAATTGACAGCGGACACCAAAGCCGCAGGTTCTGGGGCCTGCTGCCTCCGGACATAGCTCCCCTGGTTGTCGGGCCTTCAGAAAGCTAAGCCACCAGCTCTGGAGTCCCCAGCTTGCAGGTGGGCATTCAAGGGACTTCTCAGCCCCTAGAATCATGTGAGCCAATTCCCATAATAAATCCTATTTCTGTATCTTTAACTGTCCTACTGGTTCTGGTGATGGTTACATTTGATTGGATAGAGAAACGCCTAGGAAATTAGTAAAGCACATTTCCGGATAGGTCTGTGAGGGTGGTTCCACAGATGATTGGCAGGTGGGACAGCAAATTAAGGAGAGACCCGCCCAGAATGTGGGCGGCACCATCCAAATAGGCTGGGGCCCCCAGGATGCAATAAAAATGGGAGGAGGAAACCTGAGAGCCTTTCTTTCTGCAGAGATGAGCAGCTTTCCCTGCCGCGTCCTTCCACCATGTTATTCTCCACAGGTCCTGAAACAATAGGGACGACTGACCATGGCCCGGATCCATGAGTCCAAATAAACCTTGCCTCCTTTCAATTATTTTTCTCAGGTATTCTATCACAGAAATAAAAATCTTACAGTTTTGTTTCTTGAAGAACCCCCAACAATAGCGCACTTGAATAAATAATGAGTGGGAATTATAATTCTCATTTTACTGCCAATGGTATTGCTATTTTTAAAGTCAAAATAACATTGTTGAATGGCAGCAGAATACTGGAAAACCCAGCAAGACGGGCTCCAAAAGGTAAGCGGTAACCACTGGCATGTTAGCTGGAATATACGTGGCCAAAGGGAGCCATTTAAAATAGTTTTTTAGCATTTACTCCTTAAAAAGGAAATGAGTGCTCCCCTTTCTCTCTTCTCCTTTGGTTGTGAAGTACCCATTTGTAAATAGCTGTAAACAGCAACATTCAGCCTATTTTACAAATAAGAAGTACAAGGGGCAAAGCGCCTGCCTGGCAAGCGCAAGGTCGTGAGTTCGGTTCCCGGTACCGGAGAAAAACCAAAAAAAAAAAACCAAAAAAAAAAAAACAAAACAAAACAAAAAAGAATTACAAGGGGCAAATAAATGCAGGGTTGATTGTGATGTTTTCATGTATACATGAAGAGCGACAAGAAGACATTACGGGCTTAAAAAAAGAAAATATATTTTAACTTTACACAAGAAAGCTTTTAAACCACTCTCATTTAGACAAAAATCTTTAGGAAGTTACTGGGGAAAAAAACAAAACCAAATCCAGGCAAATGGTGACATAATGGTGATGTTTGAGTTCAACTTGGAAAAATATCCCAAGGAACAATGCAAAACAAAAATTGTTTCAAAAATCAAACACACCAGCCTATCATAAAAACATGAAACTGTCAGTCTTGCCTCAGATTGCCAGTATATCAGTCTCTGGCAGCTTTTTTTTCTGGATTGTACAAAATCCCTATCTTTGCTGAAAATACTCAGCTCTCGCTTACGTGAACGGCAGTTGAGAGACCCAGGATTACTATAACAGTTACTCCTTTGAAGAGATCTGTAAGCTGAGACATGGGGAGGAATAGTGTCTTCTTCTCAGGTTTAGAGGAAAGGATAGAAAAAAGTCCAGTGGCTTTGAATGTGCTGCTGTTTGCCTATGTGCAAGGGCTTCTCAGATGAGGCTGAAGTATTTGTAGAAGGCTGTTTTCTTTGTTGTATTTTCAAACAACAGAGAAATGGCTTTTTTCTTAACTACTCATAACACTTTATTTTTACTTTGTACAAAATACAAAAATGCAAATCCAAAGAGTACAGACCGGTAGTGACAGGCACACTGCACAACAGCAAACCTTGCCTAGCAAGACATTAGTTTTTAAAACTTTATTTTAGTGAGTACATGCATTATATAAAACAACAACGGCAACAACAAAATCACACAAAGAGGCTAGACGTTTTTTGCTATTTTCACCCCCAAAGTAATGCTTGCTGTCAAGACTTTGGATGAAGATGGGGGAAAGGAATTAAAAAGACAAATCATTTTTTTTTTTTCCCCATAAAAGAGTAAAAGCTAAAATGTCCTTATTTATTGTCACACTGATTAAATTTCTTCCAAAAAGCCACAAATATAAACAAAACAAAACAAAAATCCTGAACTGGACAGACAGCAAATATTCAAGAGGGTTGTTAACCTATGTAACCGTTCAGTAGTTTAAAGAATCTTCTAGACATTTTGAAGTCTTTCTAGTCGTTTCTCAGTACAGTGTCCACCCATCTTGCCTTTCTCTCCCAGAACAGAAAGCTTGCATCACTGAGTCTGTTGCTAAGAACTAAGTTTTGAAAATGAAAGCAACATACAAAAATATTTAACAGAACTATGAAAGATGTAAGAAAAGTCTTTTCTTCGTAGCAAGAAGTCTTTGCTTTTTTTTGTCTACTCTTCAGGGTTTGTTTATCTGCCCCATGAATAAGACAGCACCTAGAGAATTAAAAAGAAATAATGAATAATACTTCAAAATAAGATGAAAAATATTACATTTAAGGGGAGGGCAAGGAGCCATATTTAACTGATTTCTCAGTTGTGCTGTTTGATAGGCCACTTCTCTCCTTGTAGAAAGTTCTATCTTTCCTGTCTAACGTGGGGGCCAGTGGTCATACATGATGACTGAGAGCTTGAAATGTGACTATTTTATTTGAATTAATTTAAAGGTAAGCATTAAAGCATACTGATTAGGACATTAAAGATGCAGTGGGATAAAAGGATGAAGAACTACCTCCTAGTGTTGATTATAATAACAGTAAAAGCTAAAACTATTAGTGCCTACCCTGTATCACTATGAAGCTTACCTTTCCACAAAGATAATCTCCTATTTTATCACTGGACATTATTATCTTTAGTTTACAGATGATGACACAGGCCAGAGTCAGCCAAATTGTGTTGCATTAACAGTTCTCAGGTCATATTGACAGAGTGAGCAAATGAAAGTTGAAGACATGCAGCTTCTTGGAAAAATCTTAACTCACATATTTATAAAAATACAGGACAACTGACAGATGTCGAAAGTATTCCAAAGGGATGTTGGGTCTCTCTGTATGTTAAAAGCAACCACCACCACCTCCACACCTAAAACCTGTCCATACTTAAAGGATCAAGCCACACTCTATAAACCCAGCTTTGATCTTCCTATCTCTTTGCTGAGGGTGGTTATAGGTGATTGACAGATGGGAAAGAGATTAAAAGCAACACTATTGCATACAACTATGGCCATGTACATACACCCATGTGAATTCTAACATGCAGCGAACAACTGAAGAGAGAATCACTTACCCGTAGGATTATGTCGGATAAAAAATAGAAAAGGTCTGTCCACTATAAACCACGGAGGCGATGACCTTGCAATTAGAATCGCAGCTAGAAGAACACAGGGAAAACGTGTTACATGCCCAGCATGAGACCAGCAAGGTGGCCAGCTGCTAGCGTCTGAGGACACCCGTCATTTCTGTGCCACGTAACAGTCTCAATGGCCAATATTTACCGAATGCCTACCATGGGTCAGGTCCTTTACACTGACTGCTTCATTTATTCAATAAAGGCACCATCTTCTCTAATTAACATACTTCCTACTTGTAGAGTTTTTATGAGGATTAAATGACATAACATTTAAAATAGTGACTGCCACTAAGTGAACACTGAATGCATATTCACTGCTACTATTAGCTGTTTTTTATGCGTACCATCTGCTGTGCTGATGAAGCCCTGGTAACCTTTTTTGTTGTTGTTGTTTGTTTGTTTTAAGATAGGGACTTGCTGTGTAGTCCAAGTTGGCCTTGAACTTGTGATCTTCCTTCCTCAGCCTATAAGTGTTGGGATTCCAGGCATACACCACCATGTCTGGTTTCCCTGGGTTCTTTTATTTTTTATTTATTGGTACATACTTATAGTATCTAATGATTGCAGTCATTGTGGGGAGGTGGTACATGTGCATGACACATCGTAATTAGTTTTTTTGCCACTACCTTCCCCTTTCTCCCCGTCCCTCCATCTCTTGGACTCTTCCTTCTATAGCCCTGGTCCTTTTTAATCTTTCCAAATCTTTTCTGTAGACCAAGGCCCAGCTCAGTTCTCAGTTGTTTTGTCTCTGCCTTTTCCTTTGGCACCTCGTATAGGTTTCCTCGGCACCAGAACGTAGACCATTCATCTGGGCCTACTCCATTATGTTGCTGCTCAGTAGCCCAGCTATAGATATCTGACTCAGGAAGCAAATTCCTTTAGGCTCATGGGTCGTTGACCTTACTTTGCCATGCTAACCAATGGTGGCTCCCATTTAATAAGCCTATGACAAGGCCCTAAGGGAGAGCAAGTATACAACTGTCACACGCCTGCGGAAATTGCTCCGTCCTTTTCTTCAAACCTAGTGACTTTGGCTTGATGTTAAATGGGGAACACCACCTGTATTTACTCTGGCACAAACCACCCAGGGTTATTAAAAATCCACAAATAGTGAATAGTTAGCAGGTGATATGAACTGTGTGATATGAACTCCTCACCAAACTCATATGTTTAACTCCCAGTTCTCTAATATGAGTATACTTGAAGGTTATTAAGGACAAATGAAGTTGTAAGAACAAGAGCCTAATCCAGCAAGTGTAATGTCCCTTCTAGAAGGGGTAGAGACCCAGAGAGAGACTATGTGAACACACAGTGAGGAGGCGCCATCTGCAGGACAAGAGAAAGACCATGGGAGAAGCCTAACCTGCCAAGCACACCTTGAGCTTGGAGTTCTAGCCTCCAGGGCTTGAAAACATAAATTTCTATTTTTTAGTCCCTGATCTATATAGCATCTGCTATGGTAGCTTGTCCCCATGAATACAGCAGGACCCAGGTGACGACACTGGGCTCCATACATCATTTACTGCTCTGCTGTTGCAGGCTTGAAATTCTTAGTACATTTTATTTATTTATTTATTTAAGAGCAGAACATATTTATTGAGGGAAAGAAAACTTCTGTACGAGAGAGGGACAGAAGGGGACCCGTGTGGACTGCCCCTCTTAGTGTATTTTAAACAAGGGGATCTATGTGTTCATTTTGCGCAGGGACCCCCAAATTGTACAGCAGGTCCTCATGATTATTATAGTTGGCAAAACTGGTCAATAACTTTGGCAAAGTTTAGATGTCACTTGCAATCACCTAGAAAGGACAAAGGTCACCTTAAAAATTCTAAGTCTCTTATTCTAGGTCTTCATTTAATGCTATATATAGATAGATAGATAGATAGATGTTATTTATTTATTTATTTATTTTTGGTCTTTTTGAGACAGAGTCTCACTATGCAGTTCAGGCTGGCCTTGAGCTCACTTCATAGCCCAGGCTGGTCTCAAACTTGCAATGATCCTCCTGCCTCAGCCTCCTGAGTCTTTAATGCTATTTTAAATGAATAAAGAATTTTTTTAATTTGAGAAAGGAAATAAAGTGTCTATGGAGACTTTAAATGGTATTTTTTAATGACCAGAAGTATTTGACCCAGCTGAAAGTAAAGCTATGTTCTTTACTTTATGAGCTTATGGATTTTGGCCAGATCTTTTCATCCAGTCTCATATGGATAATTAGGGGGAAACTTAAGATTATTCTATTTTCTCTTGCACTATCTAAGTCACTGAGGAGAAAGCAGATGTAGCTGTTCTAATTATCACAGAAGTAGCAAAGCAATCCCGCCGCAGAGCGACAGATGCTCACTACTTTTTCCCTTTGTCCCAAAGACATCTTATTGGCTATTTTCCTATAAGTACTTGGTTATTTTATGTTTCAATTTGAACATGGGTCTTTTTTGCCAATAAGAAGCCCAAATGTGCCTCATCCTTCTGAGAGGAGGGGCCAGCAAGTTACCATCCTTAGGCTGAGTCCACAGGACTCAGTGCTGTTTGTGTGAATGAAATTCTTTGAAACACAGCCACACCCATTCACTTGAATTATCTATGGCTGCTTGCACGCTGTAAGCGTGCAAGAGAGACTTGAGAAGTTGTAACGGCAACAGTATGGACTGCAAAGCTGAAATGCAGGCTGTGTGGGTCGTTTTGGAAGTTGGCTGATTGCCATCCTGCAGGAATTTCTTTTGCTTACAAAGAGAGAATGGAAGACGCAGTCAACCCATAGCCTCTATCATTTCCTAAGGGACAGCTCACGGAGCCTGTTTGGACACAGGGCCTTGCGGCTGTTCGCTAAACTGCCAAATGAACCACAGTGAGTCTGCTTCCCTGCAAGAATCAACCAGCCCTGCCCTGCGACCCCCACCACATACTTGTCGCTGCAGAAGCTTTGGTTCCATCTTCACTGACTTCGATTTTTGCTTTTTGCAAGATTTGAGAAACATGAAGGTTCTCTGATCCTGTTTGCAGAAAAAAAAAAATAAAATGAGTCTTCTACTTGACCTATAGACCCTCCATTTGTCTGGGGGAGTAACCGCAAAGCCATGGAAAATTCTAGTTCTTAAAAAATGTCAGGAGGAGGGACCTCTGACAGTCCTGGAGACGAGGCTGCAGGCAGCTGTCACTTATGGGGAATTTGATCTCTGATCTCTGCTAAGTAAACTGCCATACTCTCTTCTAGGAGGGAGACCCAGACCCTAAATGTTTTAGTGCCTATAGTTCAACTCTGATCACTCAGAGTTTTATTACAAAAATAAGAGTATAGAGGTTTTTTTGGTGTTTTTGAGGTAGGATCTCACTGTGTAGTTTGGCCTGGCCTTGAGCTCACTATATAGCCCAAGTTAGACTTGAACTCATGGTGATCCTCCTGCCTCAGCCTCCCCAGTCAGTGTTGGGATTGGAGGTGTGCACCACCATGCCTTGCAAAGAGTATAGAGTTTTAAAAAAGGATTTCGAGCTTTGAAAGAAGCCAGGTTTTCCAGAAGAAGCAAGACAACGAATATTAGTCTTCAATTACAAAATATCAGGCCCAGAAAGGATTTCAAACAGCATTTACAGATGGGAAAACTGAGGCTCGGACTTAGGAAATCTTCCCCTGAGTCCCAGGGCTAGTCAGTGGCAGAGTACGTGCTGGCTTTTCACAACTGCAGCCTCACACATCACAGGACAGCAGTGGGGGAAGGTGATGAGTGTGAGAAGAGTTTCACACAACCAGCTGTGACTGAGATACACAGAGGGCCCAGGCCATTGGTAAGGTGAACAAGAAACTGTGGGAGAATCTGGTCCTCCCTATCTGCAATTCCCAGTTACTGGCATTTAGGCTACTGTGGGAGGTAATCTGAGGAGGAGGGTCCGACAGTGCTTCCCAAGCTTCGCTGGGCCAAAGGATCGTTTTGAAATGAAGACCTGAGTCAGTCTGGATCATGTTCAAGATGGTGCCACTTGTTGGGGAAGGTAACTGTTACAGTTTGAGTCTAGATGTCCCCTCAAAGCCTCATAAGGTCATAGGGTTTTCTCACAGGTGGCCAAATCTAGAGTGTGTGATGAATTTATAGTGCAATGCTGGGATGAAGGACGCTGAGGTTAAGGGTGGGTGATCGCTGGATCTGTCCACTGACTGGATTGGCATCGCCCTAATTTCTCTTGCTTTTGCCAGCACAAACTGTTCCCCCTCTCATGTGCACCCTGCCTCAGAGCCAGCCGCTTATGGACCGAAACCTCTAAAAACTCTGAGTTAAATAGAGCTTTCCTCTTTTAACTTTGGGTGTCAGGTATTTTGTCTCAGCAACGAGAGAAGTAACTAAGATAGTAACAAACTGGTTTCTTACCAGGAAAGGGGAAAAACACAAGCTGGTATACACTTCACACTCAAACCATGGCTTTTCTTTGAAAAGAGGACACTGTGTTCTGAATTCAAATGCCAAAGAACTGGCCATTCAAATATAAACTCTAGAAAAGGTGACACAGACTGGCAAATGAAGGCCACATGATGCCAGGGATGTCACTGTTGCTTTGGCAAAGGGGAATTCTAATCAGACTTGTTTGAATTTGTGTTATTCCTGATTAACGGGTATCAACTGCAAAATGCATATCTGCACTGCATCCCTATAATGTTGTTTGGTGGAAGTACTGGAGAGCTCAAAAATCTTGGTTTCTTTCAAACTTAAGGAAAAGGTTTGCATTTGAAAAGCAAAGAGTGGCTAATATGTAATCAACAGCAAAACTTCTAGTTAAAGAAGTGGTATACGAAATATTTCTTTAACTGAGCAGTCTCTGAGACTTTGCCTGAAACCAACACAGGAAATGTAGGCATGAGTGACACATGCTGATGTAAGTGGTAAAGGTCGGTAGCACGATTTGGTGATACATCAAATTCAAACTTGGACAGTTTTAGGGTAACACATTTCTAATTCTGTTTCTTTTTTTCTGGTACTAGGGATTGAACTGAAGGCCTTGCACATGTGAGGCAAGTATGCTAACACTGGACTACATCTCCACCCTCTTTTTTACTTTATTTTCAGACAGGATCTTGGTCAGTTGCCCACGCTGGCTTCGAAGTTGCAATTCTCCTGACTCAGCCTCCTGAATGGCTAGGAGTAGAGGCATACAGCACCACCATGTCTGGCTTAATTCTCATCTTTTCTCTATGAACAAATCAGACTCAGTTTGAAACATTTTCTTTAAGTATAAGTTGCACATTGGACATACTTGTTATTTTTGCAAAATTGGCCTTTGATGGATCAAACATCTCCGTAATGCCAAGAACTTTCAGCGGCTCCTTCAGATCTGTTTGTGCCACAGCTGTGAACCTGCACAAAAGTAGAAAAATGGGAGGGAAGTGATCACAAGGCTTTAAATGATACAAAATGATCTAATCAGTACCTGTTTACACATGGAATCTTCTAACGTACGATTTGAACAGTCAGAACTACACCTTGACTTTTAATCCTAAATTTAAATACCAGGTAAGCAGAGAACACCTCCTCTCTCATTAGGCTGGCAAAGGAGCAGAACAGTACACAGCGACAAATATGGGTATTCCCATCCACATGCATGCAGCAGGCCGCCCTTTTCAATACTCAGAAGATCTAGAGCCCTTCCTGTTATATTGATGTAAAGGTTCAGGGGGAAACAGTTCCTGGAATATCTACAGATCCCCCATATTCAACTGAAAAGTCCCCTTCGTGGCTGCTGTAGGAACCACCATCCTTACTATCCTTACTGGAACTGCAGATGGCACAAAGAGAGGAGCTATATTCTCGACAGCATAAGCTGGGATTCTGAAAACATTTTTACTGTTAAAACAAGAACAAGCATTAGGAATGGGTGACCTGCTATTACATTTGGGTATAAAATTAGTTTCTTGCATGTGTGGCCAAACTGGCTTGGGGGTATATATATATCAGTTATTAAGCTTGTCGTTATATTTGATCTCACCCTGTGGCAGAGCAGCAGGAGAAAGTGAGAAGATTCTCATCCCAGGCAACCTGTCACAGCAATTTACCTGTTCTTCACTGAGGCCTACACGACCACCATCACGTTCAGTTATAATCAAGCACTGCTCACTTGAAGGCTTGTTTTGTTTCACAAAAACAACAAAAAAATCTTGGGAGTTCTGATATGTATTATAAATGTATTACTGTGATACTTAACCGAGTAACCAGAGCACCAAAAGAACTTTCCAGCTAGAACTTTCCATCTCCATTACTGCTAAGGCCTGGGTAATTTAATGCTCTGGGTAGTGTAGAACGGTAATGTCAGAAAGTTCACAGAAAGGGGAAAATATCCATTGCCTCTTCAAGAAGTCTGGGCAAAACATTCTCTGACCTATTAGAAATTAGGATTCACACAGACACTGGGATTGCTTTTTCTTTGGCTTCAGTCCTAACAGCTCAAATTCCATCTATATTTTACTTTTGGGGCATAACAGAAAAACTGCTTAAACACAAGTAGAAGACCTCCGCCTGGGTGGTTCCCAAATAGTTACTTACTACCTAGTTTGGTCTCTGAAAACTTAAATAACTAAAACACCTGGAGCTCCCTGATACAGTATGATGACATACATGTGCTTTTCAGTTTTTTGAGCAGAGTGAGACATGTTAAAAGCCATCATGGGGGCTGGGGATTTAGCTCAGCGGCAAAAAGCGCCTGCCTGGCAAGCGCAAGGTCGTGAGTTCGGTTCCCAGTATCGGAGAAAAACCAAGAAAAATAAAATAAAAGCAAATCATTATTAAAAGCCATCATGGGATCATGACGAGCTTGTGCTCATGGAGAGGCCTGGAGACCAGAACTGCCTTCTTTCCTTTCTTATTATTATTATCCTACTGCACAAGAAGCAGAGGGGATACACAAAAACATTCAGAAAGGATCAGCCTTGTATTCCCACCATGTGATTTCTGCAAAATAAAAGCTTCACCAGGTGCCATATTGTGGTCTCATGTAGTTAGGCATCCTGCATACCAACTACTAAACAAACAACCCTTTGTTCTCCTTCAGGGAAGGGGCCACTTACTTGGGCAGGACCACCTGCACCCTCTTGGGCACCATGGTGCTCATCCAGCTGTCGATGGTCTTGGTGCTGATGTGGGGGATGAGCGCTGACAGTGGGGTGGAGCTCTCAGTCGGCAGGGCAATCAGCATGCTGATGCTTTCCCCATGGTAGGGCAGCTCGATGAAGTTGTACCACAGGTCGTTGGGCGTGCTTGTAGACCCTGGAGAAAGCACAGGCAGGTTCAGTCTTTTGGAGGACCACCTGGGAGACTCTCCTTGAAAGAAGAGCAATTATCTCCATTTTAACTAAACCTGGCCCTATTTCATGTATTAATATGTACAGAACTGGGTAGAACTTTTCCTTATCCTCTCAATTGGCTTTAAGCAATGCAGATCAGTCCAGCCAAGATGCTCATGCATATTCTTTGAAGTAAAGACACAGAGCAGTGCTTCCCCACCTCCCTAGCTCCCGAATAAACATGTGTGAGCCGGAGTGCAATGCAGGGAGGCACTCCAGACTATTGGCCAGGATTGAGCCTTGAAATAAGAGGCTATGACTTCCCAGGGCATAAAAGATTACACATCAGAGCTGAAGTACCGACCCCAAAACATCACATACTACCGCAGCTGTGTTATGCAGCTTACTCTTCCTGCATATCCTTTTCTCTGCATACTGCAAGGGGATTTCAGGCCTCCTACTGAGCCCAGCTCACAGCACTCACATACTTCCCGCCACTCTCACAATCACTCATCCTCAAGCCACTCCCTTCTTCACAAATTAATAAAACCCAGGCTCAGCCCCGGGTAAGGGCCTTTATTCTAGATAGCCGTTATCATAGTTGAACTTAGGATCCGTTGACTCCCCACAACTACAAATATGCCTTAGTGTCTTTATTCTCACCATGGGTTGCACTGGGAGTAGTAGATTGGAATTAACTCACTAAAATTCCAATAACTTTTCCATGGGATCACAAATATAAACTTCCTGGGCCACGACAAGGACTGGGAAGGGCTCTCTATGCAGTGTATCCTTGGTGACTCCACATGGAGCATGTGCCCTGGCTTCTCACTGGGGAGCTTCGGAGGGAAGTCAGCAATTCAGTTGGAGGACCTTTCTATTCCCCAGACAGCTTCCTCACAAGGACAAAGATAAGGACAATGATTTCTTCCTTCCACGGTACAGAATCCTTTTCCTCCAGTCCAGACAGAATGCCTTTGGGCATCACTAACTTCATTTTAATTTAGTGGAATAGAATGTAACTAGATCATTAGACACAATACAATGCTTAGCAAGAAGTTGACCTTTACATAAATAAAAGAATGAATTCGAGCTGCCTTGCAATCATTTTTTTCTTTTAGCTTTTTAAAACACAAATTGCATTGTGCATTTTAAGGTATACAACATGGGGCTACCAGATACACATATATAAATACTAAAATAATGACCATAGTGAAATAAATTAACATATCCATCATCTCACACAGTTACATTCTCTTTGGGTATTCTGTAACAAGAGCAGCGAAAATCTGTTCATAAACAGGAATCCTACATACAGTACAATTTTGTTGTGCTAATCCTTATTTTGGATAAGCCTCTGTGTGTTTTGGAAGAGAAGGAAGGAAACAAGTAGCTCCCATTTTTTTAGGCCTACTCCAGCCACTTAACCAGAATCACAAGCACCCATAAGGTAGGTGTGACAATAACTGTATTATAGGAGGAGGCTACGATGGAGAAATTTGGTAACCAGCTGAAGGACGCTTACGGGGCTACAAAGTGGAGAGCTAGGAGAGGCTTTCTCCTCCTCTGTTACTCTGACTCCTTATTTGCACACTCCACTGAGCTGCATTAGAAGTTTGAGGTATTTTACTATAATACTCATTTTGTTGACCATTGGAGGATGATCTAAGCCTGCCTTTCTCAAAACACCAGAGCACATGCTACCCACAAGATGCTCCACAGACAAAGCAGACGAAGCAGACACCATATCATAGGAGCCCCAGGGAGCATAGACACACGAGTCTTCCCGCAGATTCACAGTCTGCACCGGGACTGTAGAGGCTCGGATGCACTCCAAAGCCAAAGAAAGTGTTTAACTCTATTTATCTCCATGTTTCCCAAGCTAATTTGATCTTATTCTATTCAAAATACTTAGCAATGCTATGGTTTGAAAATACCCTCTGAAATTCCTGTGTTACAAATGTAATCCCTAAATTTATCTGTTGATGTGTGAGGGTGGGCCCCTCATGGCATTAGCGGCTTTACAAGAAGAGGAGCTTGCTTGCTCTGTCTCTCCATGTGATGCCCTCCACCACTTTTTTGTTTTGTTTTGTTTTTTGAGACAGAGTCTCACTATATAGTTTAGGCTGAACTCGAATTCACAATTCTGTAATCCTCCTGCCTCAGCCTCCTAAGTGTGGGGATTAGAGGTGTGCCACTGTGCCCAGCCTCCACCACATTTTGATACAGCAAGGAAGCCCTTCACCAGCTAGATGCAGAGCAGATGCAGCTTTCTCTCTCTCTCTCTCTCTCTCTCTTTCTTTCTTTTCTTTCTTTCGTAGCGGGAATTGAACTTAGGACCTTGTGCTTGCCAGGGAAGCACTTATGCTACTGCGCTACATCCCCAGCCCAAACTTCTATTCTTCATACATTACTTGGTCTTGGGGGCTTTGTTAGGGCAACAGAGAACAGAGGAAGAGAACACCTAAGCAGCACAACTGAGCATGGCTGGCTTAGGGTGAGTGAAAGCAGTCACGAAGGGTGCCAGCTATTGCCCAGCTCACACCAAGGGAGCTAGAAAAAGTAATACCCACACCGGCAACCTGGGGAGAGTTTTTCCCAAATCCTGCCTGGAGATAGTATGAAACCTTTCAATTAAGCTTGGAATAAAAAGAGCTACAAAAATCAACCAGATATATGGAAAACCAGCATGTCTAGAAGTGCAGTGCATTCTAACATGTCTTTAGATGAACTCTGTTGCCTATGTGAAGTTACTTAACCTCTGTCTCCTTGCCTGCAAAGGAGACGTCAGGATGTTAACAGTGTGGACCGCATAGCATTGTGTGATGACTCAGTGAGGGAAAACACAGAAGACCCTTCGCAGGGCCTGGCCCACGCTGGCGGCCAGTGAATGCCTGTCCCCTCCTCCTCTCTAACTGATCCAGAAGGACACCACACTTAAGAAAGAGAAAAGACAAAGCAAGTTTCTCTCCTGAATGTCTCTGGACTTTTCTTTTTGTTGACCATTGCATGTGTGGTGGGGAAATTCCACAGGCCAGTTCTCCATGGGAGGCGTTGGAGGGAGAGAGGAAGACAGAGAGAGAGAACTTCCTTTGTTACATAACAAACACTTTTAGCCATAAAGTACAAAACAGTGGAGCTATTAGTTTTCCGACACCCGCAAGATGACACTACAGTTTCTCCTGCAGAAAACGTCTGCAACTGATACAGCTGCTGGGTCCCTCCTGCTCCCACGTGCTGCTCTGGCCTGCAGGGCTGTTCAGGGACCCAGCATGTCCTGCCTTGGCTCTTGTCTTGGGGTTACCCAAGAACTGCAGTTAGGATCCTTCATCTTTACTTTTAGGCTGTGTAACAAAATGGTCTGTGTGGGAACTGAAAAATCAATGGGAAAGTGAGGGGAAAAAAATTACTTCCTAATGAACCTTTTAATCCTTGAAAAAAACATCAAGTCCCTATGCTGGCAGAATGAATTTTTAGAAACCGTAAAATGTGGGAAGCAGTTAATAAATTATTGCTCCAGGGCATAGAATAAGGACCTAGAGGCATTAATTAGTTCTAGAAATGTTTGCTGCTGTGTTAGGAAAGAAGGCCTGGAGGTTATGAATTATGAAAAAGTAGGAGATGGGGCACGTTGCAGGTGAGCGGTGCCACCATCACACACTAGTTAACCCATCCTTGACTGGGTATTAACACTATAACCATGAACCAGTCTGCACCTGTCACTCACATCTGCTTGTTGATTGAACTTCCCTGACTTTGTTTCTGCAAAGTAGCTGCTGACTACTGTCGCCAGGATGTACCTGTCCACACCCCAGGATGTACCTGTCCACACCCATGCTTAGCTTTATTTGGTAACCTGAGGAGCGAGGAGATACATTAACACTCTCCTTTTCTCCCTGGTCATTACCATAGTGCATTCACAGCATCTCATTACAGAGGAGAAATGCTGATGTTAAGAACATAAGATCTAGGGCTGGGGATAAAGCTCAGCAGCACAAGTTTGATTCCTGGTACCATAACAAAACAAAAAAAAAAACCCCACAAAAAAACAAAACAAAAAAAAACAAAAAAACCCCAAAAGAACACAAGATGTAGAGTTGTAAGACCTGGATTCAAAGTCAAATCTGCCTAGCTCTGTTACTCTGGTGAGCAGAATTAGCTCCAGGTCCTAGTTTATTCATCTGTAAAATGCTATGATAATACCTAATTACCCAAAAACCAGTGAGATAACACACATGGAGTGCTCAGGGCAGCCTGGCACATGACAAAAGCTTTGCCTACTGAAGGATTCTACTGCTTTGTAGAATCCCTCACTTCTGGGATGCGAGGTCACTGCTTATGGGCTCAAGCCATCCTGGGAAACCACACTTGTTGCTCTGGAGCAGTAGAGGGTACTTGGGAGGCTGGGTCAGGGCATGGAGCCTCTCCTGGGGCCAGAGCCCTTTCCTTGAAGGGGCCTTCAGTCCCCGGCATGGGGAAAGTGGACTGTGTGCTCTTTCATGAGGGCAATTTCTGCAGTGTATAACATGTGAATCAGGTTCATTCACTCTGAGCAGGAACTGAGAAGTCTTTCCTCTTACCTGGTGATCTACCAAACTATTTCAATGAATAGTAATTGGCCAAGTGTTCAAACTGTGGAGAAGAGTCAAGAATTTTCAGGAAGGGGAACTTTTGAGGTAATCTGGTTTTCCTGGAAAGCCCTCTGCAAAACTGATTCCCAAAGTCCTACCAGTGAGGATGTAACTAAACTCACTAAAATGTTAAGGACTCTTCTGAGACTGTAAAATCAAAGAGAATATTTTTAATATTTAGGATTATGAAAGTTTTACAGATAACATACTCTTTAATTACCTTCTACTACAAAATAAATTTAAGTGCCTCCTGAGCTCTTAAGAAATTGGTCAAACTACACTTTAGTGGAAACTGAAATATATGTTTTGAAAAAAAAGAAAACCAAATAGGTCTGCAATAGGTAGTTTTCTACAGAGTCCAAGACAGCCTGGCAGAGATGGCCAATGGGGGCACTACTGAGACAGACAAGGTCAAGAATACCTTCAGTCCAGGCAACTAGAACTTAATGGACATCTAAGTAGAGAAGTAATACAAGTAGACAGACAGCTATGAGCTGGAAACTTACAGGAGAAAAAAAAGCTGGAAGTAGAAGTCTGGTTATTCTTTGTGGTCTTTTTCAGACGAGATCAGGCGCATTCAGGGTGGTATGGTATAGACTGTGGTCTTTTTCAAAATAAAGTCTCTACTGTCTAAGTTTGTAACTATAGAAACAAATATGCAACAACTTTGACTCAGCGGTTCCTATTCCAGCAAATTATCTTTAGAAGCCTGACATGATTATCTAGCAATTTTTTATGCAAGAATACTCATCACAGTGTTATTATAGGAAAAAAGTAAAGGGGCATCCATAGGATATTAAGGTAAGTTTATACCATGGAATACTATGGAATTCTGGATAGTATGCAGCTGATAAAATGATCTAGTATATCCTCATGAATGGACAAAGTTTTTCATGGCATACTAGGTAAAGAATAAAATGGATTATGGGACAGAAATTCCATGTAATCTTAAGCAGAAAAGCTTCATAGACATATTTTACATATTCATAGAAATGTTGCATATGACATATTTAGCATTTCACAGAAGTTTTTGTTCAGGGATATGGGATTATAAGATAATTTTTACTTTCTGCTTTATACACTGTAGTGTTTGATTTGATTTTTTTTTTTTTTTCTTTTTGGTGGTACTGGGGATTGAACTTAGGGCCTTGTGCATGCTAGGCAAGCACTGAGCTACATCCCCAGCCTGGTAGTGTTGATTTTCCACTGAGCATGAAACAAACACCTACTAAAAAAATTTTAAAGCCTTTATTTTTTTTAATAGAAAAGTTTCTATCCTTGAACGGCTTATATTTTATGAGGCATAATTCAGAAGGGTTTTCTTCTCTATTTCCCATCCTCTCTACCTAATATTACCCAGTGATCTTCATGCAGATCTCGATGGGACCCCGGGGGAAAGTCACAGAGGCAGATACATCGAATGGCACTGTTTCAACAAAATGGCCAAGAACAGCGAGGCTTGGCGGAGGCCCAGGAAGTGTCCGGCAGGTGGCACTGCAGCCCTGGTCATGCTGGGCAGCGGGCGGGCAGACAGGGCAACTGGTGGAGTGGGGCTGTGCCTGCCTCCCTGCCCCAGCAAGCCAGGCCTGCCCTGTGGGGCCGACAAGCTGCTCTGGGAGCCAAGTACCTCGTACCCTGCCAACCCTGGAACAGAAGCTGGGTTCCGATCCGGCCACTCAGTACAAACCCAAGGGCAAGCACAGGGAGAGGGGCAAGGAGGATGAAGCCAACCTGCTCTCCGTCCGCCCTCGACGGAACGGGCCACAGCTGGGAGCCGTTCTCACTGCACCCCGAATTCCTAACAGACCAGTCGGGGTGGGCAGGGGAAGCAGAGCCAGCAAGCTGGGTCACTGAAGCAGAGCGTGGGGGAAGCAAGAGGATATGCAGAGAGGGTCACAGTCGCTGCCCCGGGCTACAAACAGTGGGCACCTTACTGGCCTCAGCAGGGGCACAGGGCAGAAGCTGAGATCCCGGAGGAGGGAGGTGTTGGGAAGTGAACTCCTCCACCCTTACCGGGGCAGCCTTGTGGGAGCTCAGACAGGGTAAGAGGAGGCACAGAAGAGAGGGCAAGAACCAGGAAGGCAAGGGGAAGACACCTGGCACGTGCTCCCTGCTTCTGTCCAGTTTGTGCTCTGATGAATCAGAATACTTTTTTTGTGTGTCTGTCTCTGTCTGTCTCCCTCTCTTTCAGACAGGTCAGCTCTGAATTGAACAGCTACCTGGACATGTACTTCTCTGGGAAAGGAAATGATATAGTCCTATGAAAAAAGTTTTAATCTTTCATCAGAATGTCTAGGGAACCTTTGTATTTTAATCTTGAAAATTTTTTCAGCAATAGAAACAAACATATAGTAAGGGAGAACTTTTTATTTTTGTATAGATGCAGGGTGTGTACAAAACACGGAGCTAAAATAAAACAGCACTGCGAGGATACGTGCTGGTGGTGGTGCCAGGCCTACAGTGACGCGCTCATGGGCAGCGTGCTCAGAACGGGGAGGTCTGGTGTGAGTGGAAATAGGAAAAGACTCTCAGGCAAAAGGAGCTAGTTATTGCGCTCAGTTAGTTTGGGACAATACCCTCCCCTGGGGCTTTTAAATTATTATTTGTGGTACTGGAGACTGAACCTGGGACCTTTACACTAAGGGCCAACCTTTTTTTAAAAATTAAAAAAAAAATTTTTTTTATTTTAAAGACTAAAAAAATAAAAAATAAAACTATACAAAATTTCAAAACAAATAAGAAATTAACAATGGTTGTTATATTGCTATATACTGTTATCTTCAAAGTAGTTACTTTGAAGTAGATTACCAGATATAGGCATGCAAAATTGTTCAAACAATTAAACATCAACTGTTCCTTTCAATAAACCAACAGAAATCAGTCGTACAACTATCTTAGCTATCTTGCATATATATATTTTTCTCTTCCTTCTTTTTTTCTTTTCTCCTTTCCCCCATCCCAGTTGTTCTTTTCTTTTGGGCAATTTCTTTCATTCTCACAATATCTATTGTACCTTTTGGATTTTATTTACTGTTTCAGCTTCTTACACTAGGGAGACAATACAATGTTTACACACGCAAGTCTAATTTATTTTGAGACAGGGTCTTGCTATGTTGCCCAGGCTGGGCTCGAACTTGGGATCCTGCCATCTCAGCCTCCCAGAGTGCTGGTACTAGACATGCACCAACATCCCCAGGTAAGTACATACTATATTTTAAAGAACATCAATCAACTGAAAGGTTTAGCACATTTTTTCCCAGAAACTTGGCTGACAGTGCATAAGGAAGAAGGAAACAGATCACTGACTATGCCCTGTGTGAGCCATTCCTGAATTTCAGCTGCTGGCATCTGGCCACATGTTCACCTGTTTGGAGGCCACGTGTACTGAATACACAAAGGGAATATTTGGGACCCACCCATCGGGGTGTAGCATAGACACAAAAATCCTAACTTACAGAGGGGGAAAAAAGAGTGAATTGGATCAAGAATGCTTTAATGAAGCGAGATTCAGGCCACATAGGATATAGTCACCTATGCCATGGAGGGATGCTGGTGTTGGTGATTTTCTTTTTTTCTGACTGTAAAAGTGATACAATTTCAAAGATTCTTTCTTTTTGGTACCCAGAATTGAACTCAGGACCTTGCGCTTGCCAGACAGGTGCTGTCACTGAGCTATATCCCTGGCTCACAATTTCAAATAGTGCAAAATTTATCTGAGATAAAAAAAAAATTATCTGAAATCATACCATTGTGAACCTCCTCCAAGACATCTTTCTATGCAGAAACTATCTGGCGTAAGATTACTCAGCGTCTGCTGTTTTATAACTTGTTCTCTGAAACCAACCATATATTGTATAATCTTTCTATTTATGTAAATATACATCTAATTATCACTTATGTTCCATTATGCAGTCATCTATCAGTTTCTATGGGGGATTGCTTCCACAATCCCCAAGGATACCAAAACCCACACACGCTCAAGTCCCTTACATAAAATGATGAAATAGTTGCATATAACCTACATATCTCCTCCCACGTACTGTACCTTAAATCCCTTCTAGATTACTAACAATATGATGAAATGTTGTAAATAGTGCTCATATTCTCATACTATCTTGTTTAGGGAATAATGACAAGAAAAAAGGTCTGTAAATGCAATTTAATAATATTTTCAAAAAAAATATTTTCAATCCAAGGTTGGTTGAATCAAAAAGATACAGAACCTGCAAATGCACAAGGTTGACCCTATTTTTGGACCTGGCTTCTATTTATTTGTTAGTGTGAGATTATAAATTCCCTGGAGTGAGATGCTGACACAAGCACTAAGGAAATCCTAGAGACCACAGGTACCTGCCACCAGCTGGGCTGCAGGGCACCTTCCACCTCTTCCAGAGCCACACTGGGCTCTAACAGTCTTCCTAATGTTTGCTAATCTAATAAGGGAGCAATAAATTTAATTTTTACTTTTATTTTTAATTCGGCAACGTAAGATTGTTAATGGTGTATGAATAATGCTTTCATATTTCATGGCCATTTATACTTATTTCATGAATTACCTTTTCATCTAAAAAGGCCTGCATACGTTGTGTTTTAACACATAACCTCTACATATAACATGAAGACTACTAAGTGCTTTTAAAAAGTCCCAACTCCTATTACCCCACCCTTCTCCCTATATTTTTAAAAGATAGGAAGATCTGCTTTTCAGTGAAGTCAAAGCACCCACGGACCTTTCGGCCCCCTGCACATTCTAGAAGAGGCACAGCCCGGCGGGAACTTACCACAACGGAACACAGACAGCTGGGCCAGCATGGGCACTTGGTAGGATTTCCCATCAGCTGCCACAAAAGTCCGCTTCTTGGTGTTCTCAGGTTGAAACCGCGATTTCCACAAGCCCTTAAAGTAAACTGCATTGACGAGAACCAGCCTGGTAAACCCGCTGTCGATGAGATCCGGGGACAGCAGATGGTCGATCATGCCTGCGAAGCCAAAGCACAAACAAGGAAAGACCTCAGGCCTGGGGGCCGAGTTGGGGACAGACAGCAGTGGTCAGGCAGGGGGAAAAACAATTATGGAGTTTTAAAAGAACTTGTTAAAATACCCTTTTATACTTCCTCATATTTTTCTTGCGTGAATTTAAAGTTTTCAAGGAAAAATGGAAACCAAGTTAAAAATCAGAGAAAGGAAAAGATAGTAGTGATCTCCTACTTAGGGTTTTCAAACTTAGAATCAAGCTGTTACAGCTGATTCCCTCTATGCTCCTTGTCTTAGGAAAGTTTACTCATCCGAATAAGCTGTGTCTAAATAATGATTATTGTCCCTATTTTTACCGATAACTACCGTGTTACCACTGCTGCTTCCACAAGATAAACAGCTTTTGTTTTGCTTTGTTTCTAACCATTGGGTTGATTTAACTACAATCAAAACTGAACACTTCAGCCTGTGCGATGTGATCAGGGTAAGTGGTTAATTTCAGGAACGCTGAGGATTAGCTTGGAATCTTGGGTTATCACAGACCTCACAACTATTCATAGAAGGACTGACACTGAACACTGGTGTCTCCATTTATGGGTTAGGCCTCAAGCTAGCTCCTAATAGTATGGAGATAAGAGGAAACGGAGTCAGCGTAAAGGAACTCCTAACTTGGAAGGAAAACGTTCTTCTTGAGGTGTCAGGGATGGTCTATCTTACTGGAGTCAGGAACGAAGAAGCAAACAAAACTCTTTTTATCTCAGGATGCTCACAAAGTCTTCCTGAAGGGCTGTAGGTGGTTGAGATTCTGGGTAATATTTGAGTTCCTTCTGCTTAATCTTTAGAGATTTGGCAGTGTGTGTGTGTGTGTGTGTGTGTGTGTGTGTGTGTTGACATACAAATCTATTAAAATTAGTTCATTGAACTTATATATCTCAATGCGTATACACGCATACATATAAATCTATGCATAACATAGATTACTATTTATAATACTTCAAATGTTGAGATTAAAATTAACAGCTGCTGCAGAAGCCAGAATGTCTAATTCAGCAGAGAGAGCATGAAGACCTCCTAAAGGGTGCTCGTGAGAGTCCTAGAGCATGCTGACAAGAGTCACGAAAAATAAACACAGGGAAGTTGTCCTGATCCACAGTGTGCTCAGACTGTATCATCCCAGCTTGTTACTTCCACAAGGGGGCACCAACGCCTCCCTAAATCAGGGCCTGGAGGGAAAGCGTCAATGGCATGTAAAGAGCCATCATTCACTGCAGTGCAAGGCTGACCTCTGCAGACCACATCCTCGGGACAGAAGTGGGACCTGAAGCTCCTCCAACAGTGAGCTCCCTAGTGTTGGTTCCCAGCAGAAAATGTCGCTCTTCCCTCTGTTGGGACCATTACCCAGTCCCGTTGCCACTTCCTTTAGGATAAGCCCCAGGGTCCTCTCTCTGTCCACCTGTTAGCCTCCTCTGACTTCCTCCTCCCTGCTCATAGGAGATGACTCTTCTTCTGCTTTCCCCAGAGCTCAAGGGTAAGCACCACCACAACACTGCGATATTTATCCCAGTCAACTTCAGCATCTCTCTCAGCCAGACCAAACGGCACTAGGGCAAGGGCTCTGCCAGTTGTTTTCTCTAGGCCTAAGTGAAGCAGACAGTTAGTGCTCAATAAATGTCAGAGGAGACGACCTCCGCCCTGTGTGCAGAGGTAAACAATGCCTCCAAGGCTGCTTTCAGGCCAGATGTGTAATAAAGGGGCATGATTAAACAGAGGAAAAGAAAAGCTAAGGAGGAAAAGGTAAGACATGCATAGTTTAGAGGCAAGAAGCCACACAGGCTGCCTGCCACGAGGCACTGCCGCAGTGTACCTCTGTCACCCTTCCGTCTGTCCATACTTGAATACCTGCATGGCTACCACATCTCAGGGACATCTGTAAATAAGAAAATAGGCTGTGCCCTGCCCTCAGTGAGACAGAGGTGGAGGCTGCCATAAAGGAAAGGTGCAGAGCTGCAATTTTAACCAGTAGCTCAGAGTTAGAATGCTCCAAGCTGTGAGGACAAATGCAAGTGGGATCTGGTTTAGCCAGTGAGGTCTGGGGTAGATGCAGTCCTTGAGGAAGCTTTACTTGAGCTATCAAAACAGCTTGCAGTATTTCTTTTCTTTTTGGTACTGGGGATTGAATTCAGGAGTGCTCCTCCATTGAGATACACCCCTAGCCCTTTTTATTTTGAGACAAAGTCTTGCTAAATTTCCCAGGTGGGCCTCCAACTCAAAACCCTCCTGCCTCAGCATCCCCAGTGGCTGGGATCACAGGAGTGCACCACTAAGCTAAACACTTCTTGAACATTTCCCAAGTGCTAGGCCCTCTGCTAAATGATTCACATGGACTGTTCATATCCTCATCACAGTTCTCACCTTGTTATGGTTAATCAAATAGGTACCATTATTAGTATATCTCCATTTTACAGATGACAACACTGAGACACAGGGAGGTTAAGTAACTTGCTCAATGTAAACAGCTGGTGAGTGGCAGAACTGGGCTTCCAAGTCAGGACCTACAATGCCACTGGTGATAGCATAGCAAGGAGCTGGCACTGCCACGAGAAAACATTCCAGGCTGCTGGATGCACATGTCAGGCCTGTGACAGGAGAAAGGGTAGCAAGCGAGGGGAGCAGGAGGAGCCCACGTGGCTGGCACACAGGGACCAGGAGAAGCGGGCAGGTCAGGCTCACCATTAGTGGGCTGCCAGGGCCTGCATGATTGGCTCCTTCTCTGCATGGATGGAAAGATCGTCTCCACAGGGCCAGCTTGGCAATCTTTTAGACGCAGATTGCTGGGGAAATTGTGGGTGGGTTTTTGGTTGAGTGGGCAGCAGCCAGAGATGCTACATGTCCAGCCACATTCAAAACGGTCCCACACAGTGAAGAACTATCCTGGTTCTTGCATAATTTTTGAATGTCCCACCAGATATTCATGTTTAGTGGGGAAACTTGCTTACAATTGTATCAGTCCAGAACTTCACTCCTTGTTTCAAGTTTAAACACAAACTATATGTGTATATATTTTTTTCAAACAGACTTTTCTCATATGCTAGATTTTCTAGGAATGTGACTAACCTGAAGATCGCTAAAGCCCATAATTTATTTTTTTTAGCAATTTATCAAGAGTTTTGCACTACCGTAGAAAAATTTGCATCAGCAATGGTAACACGGTTTATGCTTTTGATATCACCAGTGTAACATACATGCCTCAGCTGCTTTTGTAGCCATCCATTCAGTTACTTTAAGAATATTTTCTTTTGCATTCCTGTGTAGTTGTGTTTTCTTTTTTATTCTTGTGTCATTGTACCCAAAGGTTTAGCTATTGAACTACCTATATCAATTATTTCTCTGTTCCCTTGTATTACAGGTTGGTATTGGGCTAATTTTTTCAAAAATCTGTATCTGTGTACAGGGTATATGATCAGTGAATTTCATTTTAGGATAGCCCAGACTATTCTTTAAAAGATGGGGCTGAGTCTGATGGATGGAAAAGCGCCATCAGGTGGTACACTTACGTGGTCTACACATGGCCCTCTGCAGAATAGTGGGCAGCAGGTGCAATGCTATCGCACAGTCAGGAGCCAGAGGCAAAAGCATGAACTTAGTCCTGAATGCATTCACTGACAACCACTCTTCCCAGCCTACAGCCTGCAGCAAACTGCCCAGCAGACTCCACAGAACACTCACACCTCTGTCTTCAGCTCAGGGCATCGTTTCAGGAAGGGAACTGGATTGGACACCAATCGAGAAGGGAGGCTATGGATTTACCATAGCGCTGGACTCCCCTACCCTCCCTGCGCATTCTTCCTCCACCTGACCAGCAGTCCCCTGTGCTTCTCACTCCTTCGTGAGTGTTGTATGTCTGTAAGGGGTGGGTGGTGGAGACGGACTGCAGGCTACCAGCCCCTGCTCTGAGATTCTGACTCAGTAGGTTGGGGCCCAGGATCTGCATTTTCAACACACCCAGGTCTCTCTGATGCACGGGGACCAGGCGTGCTGCAAAGGCCGGCCTTGCCCAAGGTTTGCCTTTTGGCTTCTTCCTGTCCAATCTCGCTGCTCCCATTCTTGTGCCTCTATTTGTCCCTTCTATGGAAACAGCCTGCCAGTCTGTCCCGCCAGCCTTGGCTTTGGTCTGTTCTACACCTCAGCCCCTCCTGAGCTTTCCACCGATATGTCTGGTTTACAAATCAACAGGTTTAAACTGCCGACGTTAGACATCTCCGCCTTTTAATGAGAAGAGGCGCCTAAGCAAGCAGTCATTACGCAGTGTGGAAAGTGCTTTCATAGTGAGGCCTGCAGGAGGTAATCACAGGCCAAATATAATGAATGAGGGGGCACCCACAGCTCGGCAAAGGCAAAATCAAGAGGTTTAAAGGTGGAAAGATAAACCCTTTGGGAGGATGAGAAAGATGCTCCAGGCCACAGAAACAACAGGTACAGTAGCAGGAAGGGATGAGCAAGGAAACCTTCAAAGCAAAGGAGAGCCTGTGGGCCAGAACTCTGGAGATGTGACAAGGCAGGGGAAGAGTGAGCTACAGAGACTGTGTCTGCCTCTCTCCCTCGCTGCAGGGAGAAGACACCCCAAGGGCCAGCAAGAAGGAGAGGCAGCAGGCAGGGGTCTTTGGGCCGGCAGGGAAAGACGGGGAAGATGACAGCCCACCTCTGAGTCTCACTCACACCTTCATTCACCGAACCCGAATTCATACAAGATGCCGCAGCACTCACCCCTGGTTTCGTTTTTAACCCACGTATTGATGGAGTCGCAGGCAGAGACAGGGTCTCCGAAGTTCACGTTCCGCACCTCGCACTGGAACACGTCTTTGTTCCTCGTCATAAAGGGCACTTCCATCTTGAAGCCGTTCTTCACAAACACGGCGTTTGCCACTGTCACAATGTCCTTATTCTTCTTGGAGACGATGGCTTTGTTGATCTTCTTCAACACTTTCCCAACTCCTAAAGAGAAATTGGAAATCAGCAGTGTTTATATAAGGATTTAGAAGGGTTTTCTAAAAAAACCCTTCATAGTATAGCAAATAAGAACCATGTAAGCAAGAGAAGTTTGTGTAGCAAGAGACTCAGTCTTCTGCTTTCTCTGGAGAGAGGCCTCTTTCCTTAGGAAAGGCAGGTAGGGCTAAAATAAACTAGGAAAGCTCCTAAAATCAGCTGTGCTTCTGGATTGAAACAGGCATATCAGGATCACCCCAGCACCTTCCCAGTGTAGACCACATGCTCTTGGAAGCCATTCTCGGCATCAGGTTAGTAGGAATGCTGGGATGTGCCTTGACTCTGTAGCCATACGGAATAAATCAAAGGGAACTTCTAGTGCATTTTCTTTCTTGTCCAACAGTCTTAAGCACTATTTCCTTTCCTGCCAAGGATTTAACAATGTGATTAGCTTTTTTCTGTTTGAGGAAAAAAATGAACAAAAGGAGCATTAGAAAAACTAATAAAAATTGCCATGTGCCACCAACCAGAACAATGTGATTTTTACTTGATATTCAGCTCAAAAGAATAAAGAAATTAATTTTATGGCAACATAAGCTTTATTTTATACAAGCCATTCATACATGCTCCATTTAGTTTTGCAGTATGAAAAAGAGAAAAATAAGTCATAAGGATGAAATATGTTTCTACAGAGAGCTGAATTACAGATCCTTCCTAATCGCTGGGGTTTTTTCAAAATGACACTGTCCTTAAACATTCTGCTGGAGTCACCTTGGCGGTTGGCTGAAGAGCCTACTTGTCACTCTGGACATGTGTCTTCCTCAGACGTCTTCAATAAGGGCAGGCGAAGATCTTCCTGTGGCCCACAAAGCGGGGTTTAGATACAAAGGAGCCCTTGGGGAGAACTACACGGCCATCCTTCTCGCCATCCTCACCATCCTGTGGGGCAGCCCAGAGGCTGAAGGACACTCCAAGGTCAAGGGCTAGCGCCTTTTAGCAGGGCTTCCACCATAAGCCCCGGTGCTTCCCAAGGAGAAAAGGTCAGGGCAGATCTTCACCTTTCCAAACCGACTGGCCTCCTCCCGCAGCGGGAGCTGTGTGGGCTCAGAGGCCGAGCCCCTGTGGCAGCCTGTGAGATCAGTCTGTCACAGATCTGAATGTCAGTGATTCACACTCAAGTCACATTCTGCCTCTGACCACTAATGATTCTGGAGGAAGAAAAGGATTTGGTGGCCAACGGGCCACTCTCACAACATCTTCAGAAATAAGGACTTAAAATCAACGTAGCTCAGCATGCAAACAATAAACAAAAACCCAGTTGCTATTTCAGAGCTGCTCTGGCTAACAGAGCCTGGATTGTACTAGCAAAGCCTGCAGACTTCAGCAGTGATTCACTATGAAGTCACAAATCATCAGGAGCTTCTGAATTTCCAAGCAAGGGGCAGAACAGGGTGTTCCAAGAATTTAGCCCTTCCTCGCTTCCAACAGGTGAGCAAACTGCAAACTCACACAAAAGTTTCATGCTGTGTCAACAGCATGGTGCAGCTAGGGGTGCTGGCAGCCTGGTGCAGAGACTGTGCCAGGCACACAGTCAAAGCGGGCGAGAGCGGTGGGAGGCACTGCATGACACAGTCCCCGTCTCTGTCTCATCTCATTCTCCCAGCTAAAATACCTGCTCAAGGCGGATTCTTAGAACCAGCAGAGGCAGGAGAACAGGGCAGGAAAATGCTCTCCTTTTCCATGAAGTAACTGAGCTCTAGGTGTGACTTGTCTGAGGTCACCGTGCATGTTGCTGGCAGAGAAGAGTTTAGAAACCAGGGCTGCTGCATCGTGGCTACACCTGGCAGAGTGCAGGCAGCATACAACTCTGGGAAGAGCACCAAGGCTCAAGGGAAACAAGAGACACATATTTCTGTGGCTAAACTGGTGATTAAAGACAGGCTTGTAATTCAACGAAACTAAACCTTTCTCACTGGGCCTTAACTAAAAAAAAATGTTTTTAGCTGCTTATTTTAGATTGATAAGTTTCAAAACCACAGACAGGGACGTCTCATGCGTCCTTCGGCCAGTTTTCCCCACTGGTGCGGTTGCTGCATTGGGTCACAGGCACGGGCACAACTACATGGCTTGTTCTGATTTCTCTCATGTTTGCATATACGCCTGTGCGTGATGGCGTCACTCCTGCAGATTCATGTGACACCTTGCACTGCCCCTCCTCACATTTCACAAGACACTGGTGACACAAGGCGTTGTAGCTGCGTAGACCGCAGAGGTGGGTGAGATTGAGTGTTCTCCTTTTAGAGATGGGGACTGCAACACTGAGAGGTCCCATGGCTGACACAAAGCCCAAAGCTACAGAATAGAGTCAAGAGTCCACGTCCTCTAACTTCTGGCACCTTGGAATTTTCCCTTTAGAAGAGAGACTGACCCTAAGCCCTACTGCACCAGCACTGCTCCTCCTGGGCGCCCTGCTTCTTGGGCTATAATCGATCACCAAGCAGTGACCCTCCCAAGGCAGGGCTGTGGCAGGGGACTCAAGCGCAGGGAACACACGCACCATTCACGCCGTATCGCATCACCGTAGTGAGCTGCTTCTTCGTCCGGCCGTCAGCTCCCAGCTGCAGCATCCCCAGGACAGATGCAATCCCATGAGGGGACACAACGACATTGTCATGAGGCCGAGATTTGACGATCTGATTGAAAACCTGGATCCCGGTGTCGGAGCCTAATTCTTCGAGAGACAGTGGGTTGAACTGGGAGCACAGGGAGGGCAGAGTCACTGTGGTCAAGAGGAAAAAGGGAAAGTGCCAATTCATGGTTCCTTCCAGCAGGGATGGCCTGAAAGAGCACAGAAAACATATTTGCATTAAACTTCAATGAACACAGAGGGAGGACTACTCTGTCTTCAACTAGGTAGGGCGTACTGTACTCAGTGTAACGCCATTCTAAGGCATACAGGATGGCGCAGTGTAGATTAAATCAGTTTTCAGCACACAAGCATAGGCAAATGGGGAGAGGTAGGAAGCTCCCTTTCTTGAGTCTTCACTACATACCAGGAACTATATTAAAATCATGATTTAATTCTCATATCTACCCTCTGTTCACTTAAACCAATATTATGAAGGGCCTACTGCATGCCAAGGCCATATCTTACAGGCTGGGACTCCAACGGTAGTAATAAGGTGGGCAACACCCTGCCCTCATGGAGTTTCTATTCTGGAAGGGAGACAGCAATAAACCAGCAAGCACTCAAGGGATTTCAGGGCGGGATGAAGGCCCCGATAAAGCGGAGTGAAGTGGGTGAGAAGAGGGCCAGGTGTAGGTCCTCTGGGGAGGGTGGTCAGGGAGATCTGAGTGAGGAAGGTAGCCACACTTCGGTGAGGGAGTGGTATGGGAGGCACAGGGACAGCAGGACAAAGATCCCAAAGAGAAACAAATGTGTCACGCCAGGCGCCAGTGTGGCTACAGAGTGAGGATTTATTTCCTTCCGAGGGCCCCAATAAAGCCTGGAGGGTGTGAAACAAGGGAGTGAATCTTTTGGGTTGCCATGACCATCTTAACCCTAAGCCCTAGTGCACCAGCACTGCTCCTCCTGGGCGGTGCTTTATTTATTTTCCTCCTAGTGGTTTAAAGTTGATGAATTAAAATACCATATTTATATCTACATCCCTATGACTTGATAATTACATACCAAATGTGTCTATGTAGATACCTATCTAAATATATCTATATCTATCTATCTCTATATATCATTGTAAAATAAGGAACAAGGTCCAGCGACAATGAGAAGTTTAACAGCTCCAAGTTTAACCACATGGGTTCAATTCTTTTACCGTAAGCGTATAACTTTTTAAAATAAAGAACTTCTAATTACAATAAATTTCGGCAACAACTTCAAAGCTATCGTGGGGGCACAACAATTGGCAAATCCATAAATTGGGAGGAAGGTACCGCTTATGCTATTTTCAATTACAGTGATTTGTTTTCAACAGGCTTCATTTCTTGATTACCACTTCTGGGGTTTCCTTCAGCTATGACAGCCAGAGAGGTAAAGAATTCCAATGTATTTAGAAAAAAAGCTACTTTCATTAAATGCGAACGTAACAGTGGCAGCTGGTTAAAACAAAAGCGGGATTTGTGGTGTTGCTAACTTGGTTCCTCCCCCAGAGGCAGGCGCAAGGCTCCCGTGGAGCCAAACTGCGCCCCTTGTCACTTGCTTCGATGTGTGGGAGGCTGGGAGTATCTGCAGAGTGCAGCAGAGAGAGGGATTTTAAGAGGCAGGTGGCCTGCGGTGAGGGAAAACAGTGTCCACGAGGGGAAAATAGGGCACCAGAGAGCGCTGGGTGAACTGTGCCTGGTGTCTCCCACTTCCTTTCTGCAGCCCCAGAATTTCCCACGCTAGGTCGCGGTGCGCGTTCAACAAACACATTGGGATCCAACCCGGAGGCTCCTGAGCACTCGGGTCTATTTTTCTTATTTTTCCTTGCATCAGAATAGTGTTTATTGAGCATGGCTCAGAAAACGCTTGTGTTTAGTCCTCAGCCTCCCTGCTAGCTCTAAACACTCTCTGAGGCAAGTGCCAGCGGCAGCCTGCGCCAGGACTGGCGGCACAAATAGAATTCCCCGCTGGCTCCTCAGCGAGCAACGAGCCACGGAGGCCGTCATTCAAGTGGGTGTTGCAATTTTCTTCTATATTGTGAAACAAGCACCTTTTTAAAAATTCAGAACATTCAGTGTTTCTCCAGAGCATAATTGTAAAATAATTATGTAAACTCAGCCTGTCTAAATTCAAAACATGTAAGTGACCTACATACGCTCCCACTTGGGCTCTGACCACGGCCAGTGTGGCCTATTTTGACTTTGGCACCTCCAATGGCTCTAATACCACGACAATCCCCGGAGTGTCCTGGAGCCCAGTGGACGCTGGAGAGCTTCCAAAGACTACCATGAGAGCTTAACTCATCTAAAAATCAGGGGTGGTGTTCTCCCTTCATCCTTCTCTCTTTCCCAAAGGCGGTAAGCACCTTCTTTAAAATGTAATACACCACAAAGTGGTCATAAATATACAACAATTTGTGCTATCTTTACTGCAAATGGTCAATTTCAGTGACTGGTGCCAACAGCATCAATCTCAGTTATTGATACTTGCAGTATAGCTGATTTTGGCATCTACCTTCAGCATGCCAAGATCTAGCCTGACCAAAGGAATCCTACTGGATCAGTGACTATTTCAATAAATACTCATGAGGCATAAAGGACAAGCAATTTATTTTCCTCTTAGTGGTTTAAAGTTGATGAATTAAAATACCATATATTTATATCTACATCCCTATGACTTGATAATTACATACCAAATGTGTCTATGTAGATACCTATCTAAATATATCTGTATCTATCTATCTATCTATCTATCTAATCTATCTATCTATCTATCTATCATTGTAAAATAAGGAATAAGGTCCAGCGACAATGAGAAGTTTAACAGCTCCAATGTCTTGAAGTCAGCAAGAACTGTCTCCCAAACAAAAAGCTATCTTATTTAGCAGAATTTTGCTTGCTTGTGAATTTTTGCTGAGAACAGTTTCACTATGATGTAGGGCAAAGTGGCCACGGGCATTTTTCTTGATTTCCTGGACCTGGAAAGTTTCTGAGGTATGTCTATGTAAAGGCTTATAATAGTGCACTGGGACAGTCTCAGGGCTGTGCAGAACTTGGAAACCACTATTTTTGATTGATGTCCTGGGCATAACTTCTTCTTGGCCTCAATTCCCTGGGCCAACTGCTCATTTGTCTGAACTCATCTGGCTTGTAAACATACCTAAGAATAAGATTCTACTTCTCTCCAAAGTTCAGCAGCCAGGAAAGTAGGTGTCAACCTATAAATTACTTTAGGCTGTACAAGTTCTAATAATGAAACATACTTGTGTCCAAATTGATGGTCTTTTACATGAAATAACTTTGGAAGGTCGTACCCTTTGAAATGCTTCATCTCTAGAACAAGGAGATTTCCATAATGCGAAGAACACACACTTCCTTTTATTTTTACTTCTAAGAAAAATTACATTTTTAAGTTTCATATAAGAGAGACAGAATAAAAGTGCTGCTCAAATGTATTGTATAGTATTGAGATGGAGGGATCATCAATCTTTTTAAGTGTTTCCATTTCTGGAATATTGTTTTCACAACATTAAAAATGAGTATATAGTTTGGGCCATCATTCAGGGAGATCAACGATGACAAAGCTACTGCCCCAGCCATATCCTTTGCAATGTTGGGTTTCTCTTTCTCCCTGTATTTCTAGTTTCTCTTGCTGCAAATCTTTTCTTCCTTTGGCACAGGGAATGTTTTGAAGTAACTGGGTACTGCTCCAAGTGTGAAGCATGATTTAGTGCAGTCAATGATGGGTGGGTAATTTTGCAAATGCCAGGTTCCAAATGCATCTCTACAATGATAAATTCACCACTTGCCAATGGCAGAGGTTACAGGAGCACATTACCGTCCCAGTTGGTTCTACCATCCCTTCTACATGGGTGATGCTGGAATCCTCTGCTGAGTCTCGATGCCATATTTTCAACAGTCGGCTGTGTTTCTTCACCTGATTGTTCAGGACAGTACTGCAGCCTAAAAACCCGTCTGGTCTGGTATTTTTCTGTTGACAAGCTTTGGTCTTTCCTCTGCTTCTCTCTTATTTTCCCTCTAGCAGACTGCCAGTGTTCCCAGGTCCCGCAGGGCCCGGTGAAGTTTTCCTGATCATCACAGGTAGGTTATTCACCTCTTTCTCTCAACCCTGTAGATTCCTACCTGCACCTCTTCCCTGAGCTGTTTTCAGCATTTGTCTACTTTTCTTCTCTCTGCCCTAGATGGGAAGCTCACAGAGAGCAGGGCCATGGGGTTTCAGAGCCCTGGTTCCCACAGGGTCTAATTTAGAGCTTTCCCACTGGTAGACACTAAACTGAAGCACAACCATAGGACCACCCTGGCCGCCCAAGGGTTTGGTTTGGAATACAGAGTTCTAAAAGTAGTTTAAATAACTAAAAGTCAGGAGATGTGGCAAACAAGCCTCGATTTAAAGTGATTCTAAGGAAAAATAAAAAAGGGTGGATATTCTGCTTCTCTGGGGCCCTTGCTCCCACAGCAAACTTCTAAAGCATAGCTACCAGCTCAGGGGCTGGACACGTGCTCTGCAACTGCCCTTGTTCCCCCTCTGCCCCTGCCGCCCCTGCCAGGCCGCCTGCCACCATTCGCCTTGTCAGCTCTGCTGACCAGACCTCTGAACTGAACCAGTGCTAACTGACTGAACAATAGAGACAAAGACAGCCTCAGAAACGGTGAAGGTCATCTTCTAACAAATCTAGTTTACCCATATGGACACATAAGACACCGGCTCTATTTAACACAATGCATCGTATGTCAACAGCTCAGGGAGAAAAGAGGCTGCAGAATTCTTCTGGCTCCCGCTCCTACCCAGGCTGCAGCCTGTTTGAGGGGCACGAGGTGCATCCAAGAAAATGGGAAGCACTTCTTACTCTTTCACTCTTTGAAAAATATCTGATGAAGTCTATTCTATAAAACATATGATGTATTTTAGAACTTCATACCATGAAAGATTCAGACACATGTAAAAATATAAAAAAATCTACAGTACCTAACATCTAGATAAAATGACAGTCAATTTACAGTTTATTTTATTACCTCTCAAAGATCATTTTGAAGCAAATTGTAGACACACTATGATAGCATTCAAAATGTTTTTCAACATTTATTCTAAATCTAAGGATTTAAAGTACAGATTCATAGTATGAGCTTTAATAAGAACAATATTTAAAGTGGATCGAACC